TATATATATTAATCATTGCTTCTTAAAAAAATTTCCAGAGGACACATGCACTTGCCAAAGAGAGAGAAAAAGAGAGAGTGAGAAAGAAAATGAGAAAGTATCCCTCTTGGGCATGGTCATGCTATAATCCCTTCTCCATCTCTCTCTCTCCCTTTGGGATTTTGGGCATGTGTGCACACATGCCTGGCATATATTGCAAGCCACCAGTCTGGGACCCTAATCATGTAATCGGTCATGTGAGATCCAGCCACATGAGATGGCCCAATTATTGCATTTAATCATCTCAAAAATCCGCTGAGGTAGGTGCGAATACTATTTCCCATTTTACAAATAAGAGAATTGTAAGACAGTAAAGCTAAGCAACAGGTAGGAAGAGACAGAACAGGAATTCAAACTCATATGGGCTAGTTCCTAGGTCTGTGCTCTTAACCACTACACAGTTTATTTATTAATAAGTCCCAAATCAATATCTTATTTATTCTTTCACTTGTTCAACTTTTATTATTTGTTATTTTCTGTGCTATGCACTGTCTGCCCATATCCACTTCTCAATTTCAGTGCCAGAGTTCTAAGTTCTGATTAGCAGAGCACAGCTCTGTAACTTGATACAAATATAAGAAACGTACATTCAGTTTCATCAATATTTATTGAGTTTGTACTATGTGCCAAACAAAGTCTTGAAGGTATAAAAGAGAATAAGATAGATCTAGCCTCATTTTCACAGAGCTCATAATTTACTGGGAGGAAACCAGAAGTTGAGTGTGGTAAGTGCAGAAGGGGCACTTTGGAGTAAAGAATAACAGAATTAACCCAGTTACCAGTGAAGTCTTCCAGGAAGAAGTAACATGTAAGATATTGATTTCTGGCATGACTGCGTGAAAATCTCTATGAACCTGTGCTCCAGTCAAGCTGGTAAAAATGATAAACAAAGCAAACCAGTTAAAGCCTCTGGAAATGGCCTTAAGGACATGTACAATGAAGAAACATTAATTCAAGAAAATCTACACTGTAAAGTTATATGCAATTCAGTGTAATATAAACAAGATTATGATGACAATAAAAAAAAAAGAAAATCTACAAAAACTCTAAGGTGAGAAATTGTGGTATTTGAACTTAAACCTCTCCCCACCTCCTTACTCCCAGCTCTTGTGGTGGGAGGGGGGGGTGGTGGAGGTGAAGTCTAAACTGCATTCCTAATTGGACATCCTCTCCCTGCAGTTCCCAGTTTGGAGCTTTCTTCCTGACAGGGATGTCAGCATTTCTCACCCTGCCCCCCACCTACCTGTTACTGAGGCCAAGTTCCAGATGAGAGGTAGAGACGCTTTTCTTCCATACAGCCCCTGCTGATGGAATGCCCCACTGCTAAGCACACCTGGGGTGTGGCACTTCTGAGAATGCTGGGAGCTTGATCATCCTTGCCCTGGCTTGTGAAGCATGGTTGTACAATATGGGAAGCTGAGAGGACCTCAGGCTGTTGTCTCCCCTCCCACCACTAAGAGGAAGCAAATGCTTTCCCAGTAGAAACGAATATTTCTTTATATTAAGATGTCCCAGTAGAACTTACTTTATTTGTTAATAGAGGATGGAGTTAAAGCCAAAGGTACTCCAATAACTGGGCGCTGTGGTCGGGGGCAACTGGGAAGTGATTTATGGATTTGGTGAAGGTAGGTTGGTTAACTTGTCTGGCTGGACTGTAAAAAGGAGCCAGAGATGGCTGGGAGTTGCTCTCCTGTCAAAAAAAAATATCAAACACTGATCTTGGGAAATGTGCTTTCACCGGAGCCCACATTTGATTGCATTAGTCTGCAGAGCAATTGATGACTATGGGGCATTATTGAAAATACAAGGCCGGTGGTGTGGTGGTTGAGTTGCTGGACTCCCACATGACCGACTATGGTTCGAGTTCTGGACCCGGTGGCTTGCTTTCTTACTTTCTCTTTCTCTCTGGTCAAATTAAAATAATAATAAATACAATTAAAATAAATTTTTAAATAGAAAGAAAATATAAGACCAATCAGTTAGCAATTAGAGGAGTGTGAACGGTGTAGGACCTTGCAGGGGGGGGCAGAAATACCCAGGGAATGCGGTAGTATCAAGGGCAAGAATAAGGGAGGCTGGCAGGCATAGGAGAAGAACATAAAGGTGATATCCAAGTAATAGCAGCTTGGGTTGTTCTTCGGCATGAATGAAAACTACTTTCTCTGCCCTCTCAAAAAGGTGCAAGAAATCTCTAGAGAGTTGGGATCCTACATGGGCAGAGAGGGACAAAATCTTGTCAAACATAGCTCACAGTTGTTATTTTTTTTTGGCCCCCATAAGATCCCCGTGAGATCATTTTTATTTTATAGACGAGAAAAGATGTAAAATTTATTCTTCTAGATAAGTGGTCTGCTGATACTCTGAAGTTCAGATTTGCTCCTAAAATCCTGTCAACAAATATTACTTGTCCTAGTACTTTTAGAAATGAACTGAGAAATGCTACTGGTCACTTCTTTTTTTGTTATAAAACTTTTATTATTTTTAGCGACAATAAAGTGTGTTCATTTTAGAAATGTGGAAAAAGCAAATAAGCAGCAGAAAAAAATTCATAATCCCACCACTGAGACTATATTTTTTATCTTTCATCCTTCACAAGTTTTTATGTAATATACGAATGTACTCTTACCTTCCAAAAATATGATATCCACATATTACTTAGTAAGCTGTTTTCATTTTATAGCTTGTCAGGAATCTCTTTTTTTTTTTTTACAAATGAGTAAAGCTCTTCCATTAAAAGACAGACTTATAGATTGATTCAAAATACTATTAACAATCAGATGCAAACAACAAAAGATGCATCTAAAATCACTAACAGCAACAGGCTAAGAGTAGAAAGATGGAAAAGGTATATCAGGAAAATACTAATAAAAAGAAAGCTATATAGCAATGTTAATATCAGCTCAAATAAAAATCAAGGTAAACTACATTAAATAGGGGTAAGGATGGTTTCTATTAACCTTCCAGCGCATCACGATAAGTTTGTTTCTTACTCTTCTTATCTCATCTATTTCTTCCACTTCTTTAAACATATCTTCATTGCTTAGATGCCTGTTGTGTATATCTTCTTTAAATTCCTGGAGAGATTGAATCAGCCTTTCTCTAAAAGATTCTTCTGCTTTTCCCTCTTCCTCTGGCCCTTCCTCCTCCTCCGGCTTTTCTTCAGGCTTTGGCTCTTCCTCAAGCTTTGGCTCACTCTCACATTCTGGATTTCCTTCCATTTTTTGACAGGGTTTCATCTTTTTCCTTCCCTCTTGCTTTCCTTTTTTTCTTTCTTTCTGCTTATTTCTCTGTGAATGTGACTTTGTTTATAAGGCAAGGAGGAGGCAGTGAGTCAAAGGCTAGGCGGGCCAACAGGTGCTCTGGACGGAGAGCTCCGTATTTGTATTTGCTTTATTTCTCTTTTGACTTAGCACTGCCATCAAATATCCCCGACCTGAGAAGCCCAGTCAGCAAACAGAGCTTCCCGAGCCCGCCCTCCTACCTCCACTTTCCACCTCCACACCTCTCTCTTGTCCCTCCCTCCAGCCTTTTCCAAGGCCCTCTTCCCCTCCTCCACTCCCTCCTCAGCCATTTGTCCTCGAGGGGACCTAACACCAGGCCCTCCCCCGAACAGAGTTAGGGTAGGGTAGCCCGCAGGGGCGAAAAGCGGGGAGGGAACGGTGGGGCCGGCAAGCTCTGTCCCCGCGCTCGCCCACAGCCACCTCGGGAGCCTTTACTGTTCCTCTCACCTACCTGGTATTGATCCGAGGAGTTTCTTCCTCCCGCTAGAAAGCCTCGGCTTTTGGC